TCACTACCTAAAGCCCCACGTTGCCAAAAGCATTTTTAGTCGATGGTGTGTTATAATGAAATTCTTCTTTACCCAACTATTGTGTTGCTTGTTGTTGGATTAGAAATTGTCGTCAACATCACCGTGCGTTGGTACATCGAGAGGTTGCTACTGGTCCTCCAGTCGGACAAGGACAGCTACATACGCACTTAGATGGGCAGCTACCGGTGATTTTCAGAATCGTTCCTGTAACATTGTATAGTGAACAACGATCGATCTCTACAGTAGCTTATCTCGACGAAGGATCCTCTATGACTCTAGTTGAAGAAAGTATTATACGCTCGCTGGAAAGACGTGAAAACCCACAACTATTGACGGGCAATACCGTACGCCGAGAATCATCGTCAGAGTGTGTATTATTCCAGGTAGCAAGTAAAGCGGGCAATCGTCTGAATTTAAAGGATGCGCATACCTTTTAGAAACTATACCTGCCAAAACAGCGAGCCGATCTCATGGAAATTCCCAATCGGTACCAACATTTGCGTGGATTATATGCAGCAAATCACATCGGAAAAGAACCAAAAATCTTGATCGGGCTAAACAATGCGTTCTTGTTCGCGCCGTTAGGGTCAAGAGTCGGGAATGCTAATGAGCCAATCGCTGTTCGATCACATTTGGGTTGGACGATCTACGGGCCGAGAGAAAGTGGATCATCATCGGGATTTGTAGGCTACCATGGCGGATATACTAACCCGGAATTGCATGAAAACATGCGGGAGTTTATTATGAGTCAGGAACCACGGACCACGGTTAGCAAGTTACCCGAATCAGCTGAGCAGTGATGCAAAATATCATGACACTCCTCTTCGCATCAACCGACTATCGCTGACAGATCGTTTTGTCACGCAGTGAGAGTTAGAGCCATGGCAAACAACAATCACCAGTAATGTCGCTGCTCACAAGCAAAACGTTACACTCGCTGCTGATGAAGAAAAGCACAACGAAAACAGTGAAGACTTCCGCAGTACGATCATGAGAAAAAGCGAAACGACAGAAGAAAATGAAAACAATGCCTACGCACTCCAAGTTCGTCTCGGCAGGCGCGACTGTGTGAGTTACAAACAAAGCAAGCAACATGAAACGGAAGCTGTTGGGCTCACTCACCAACACACTCACATAAGCGAGCAAAGCAGCAACTGCTTCAAAACGAGCACAGATGAGTTTCGTGATTGTCGGGAATGACCAGATCGGTGATGGATCACAACAGAAGACGACATTCACCAGTTGCTTTTTACTTCTTTCGTCAACTTGATGGATGGTCATGGAGAGAGCTTCGACGAGCACATTGATAGGAATGTACAAAGCGTTACTACCATCAGCTGTTTGGCGATCGTGATTGTGATAGGTCGCAACTCTGCAGCTGAGGATCAAAGAGCCCGTCAACTGCTGGAGTCTACTACGGTGAATGTCGGCGGCCATTACGAAACTGGTCTTCTGTGGAAGTCAGATGACGTACGTAGACAGTTATGTTATGGCATACAAACGTCTTTTGGGACTGGAGCGGCGTCTCTTGAAGGATCCAGATCTCTACGAAAAGGTGAAGCTGAAAATCGAAGAATACCTAACAAAAATCTACGCGCATAAAGCAACTCCGAACGGACTTGCAAGAGCGGATTCCATGAAGGTGTGGTACTTACCACTCCGTGTGGCCGTGATCCCAAACAAACCAGAAAACATTCGATTGGTTGTCGACGCAGCGGCGCAGGTGGATGGCATTTCGTTAAATTCGATGCTTCTGGTGGGACCTGATATGCTTGCAGCTCTAGATGCAGTGATTCAGCAAATTCGCGAGCCACCAATTCCACCAATGTACCACCAATTCCAGATAACAATGTGCTACGTTTCTTGAACCCGTGGAGTAAGCCCGAAGTGTACATGATGGACGTGGCCATTTTTGGATCAGCGTGTTCTCCGGCATCGGCGCAGTACATAAAAAATCTGAATGCTTCTTATTACCATGATCGATTTCCGGATGTTCGAAAACACTATGTGGACGATTACCTCGACTGCACGAATACAACGGAAGAAGCTATCGAAAGAGCACAGCAAGTCCGATACATTCATAGCCAAGCCGGGTTCGAAATTCGGAATTGGGTTTCAAACTCAACTATGTTTCTCGAAGCTACGGGAGAGTCGATCACCAAGGAAGGAGTGTCCCTGAACAGCGGCAAGAACGACGGAAGCGAACGAGTACTGGGGATCATCTGGCGACCAAGCAACGATGTATTCACTTTTTCGACGGTAATGCGTAGTGACTTGATGCTGTACATGACATCCACTAACCGACCCACCAAGCGGATGATCCTAAGCTGCATTATGAACCTCTTCGATCCTCTGGGGCTACTGTCACCGTATACCATTCATGGTAAAGGTTTACTGCAAGATACGTTGCGCTCTGGCTGTGCGTGGTCACGAAACATTAGAAGCACACGTCTTTGTTGACGCCAGTCAGGAGTATTACGGTTGTGCGGTCTACTTCCGTGTCACTCATCTTAGGAATTCGAGATGTTCTCTGGTGGCGGCTTCTACAGCTGTGCAGGTGTTCGACGAAGGTGTGTTCAGAATTGATGAAATGGCAATTTTCATGTCTGTTGGGCTACTGGACCCTTTCAAACACCGTTTAGGGGGGCAATGAAAAGCACTGCCGTTCTTGGGGTGGGACCTTCTTGGGCGTCTTTATAAGAGCGGCGGATGTAGGCACTTCGATTGTTTTCTTTTTGAGGTTCCTTCCATCCACATTCTTTACAAAACAGCACATTCGTCCATTCAATCACACATCAAATATATTTCAATGTCAAGCTCATACTATTAACATACAATTTATTTACAACACTTTACATATTTACAAGGTTCATTACACAACACACATAACATATTAAATCCTTGTGGCTCTGCTCTATCCATCCTTCTTTGAGAGTCAGAGCCGACTGGCTATTATTATATTATAATTCAAGCTGAACATTGCATTAGGTTCTAAGTAACATTGATCGATTCTCTTCTTAAACTTTCTCCTTCGTTAATAATTTGGGTATAGAACCGTTTCTTGTCATGTTTTTCATTTTAGTAGATATATCATAGCTTCTTTCATCGATCTGTGTGCTGAAAATAGCTGGAAATGTCTTAACATGGCCGTGAGAATGCAAAGAGAAAGTCGATGAAGAGAATCTGTCAATGTTACTTAGGACCTTATGCAATATTCAGCTTGAATTGTCGATTCCTACACTGCTAGACGATCACCGCAGTGACGTCATTAGTCCCGATTGTTATCGCTACCTAATATTATCCAATCTGTTATCGGTTCCGTGGTAGCGTCCGTACAAGAGGAGAGATGGTCCGATTCTACGTGGTGAGAGTTTGAGAGAGTTTCTGTACAAACGACAGTGGCGTAGCTAGGGTATGGTGAGGTTACTCCCGAACAATGTCAACAACAATTTATTCTATGAAAACACTTGCAGTACAAATTACATCAATCGAAGAATGTGCCTGTATAACATAAATTGCGAGGAAATTGACATCACTATTTCCAAAAAAAAACTCGACTAATAGGAAATAGAAATAATGCAAAGCGTGTAAGCAAAACATTGTAAACATTGTATGTAGTCTACTTTGCTTGACGAAATATGTAAATAAGTTGTTCACGTAGTATATGGACGGCAGCAAACTTAAGCAGTCACAGTTTTAAGAAGCGAGAAGGGAAGGTACGTGGTGTGGTTTCCAGGTTTTGATTTCATGGTCAACCAATCGAAAGGAAGGCGGTTTAAAAAAGAGTCAAGAACTTCAAGTGTGGTACAATAAAATGATCCAGAAGTATATTTAAAATAGCCGGCGCTGGTGGTGTAGTGGTAAGCGTGACTGCTTTCTAACACCCCAATGGGTCTGGGTTCAATCCCAGCCGAGGTCGGTGGGATTTTTCTGAGGCATAAAAATCTCTGGTCACGTCTTCCTTCGGAAGGGGGTAAGGGAAGTAAAGCCGTTGTTCCCGGCCCATGTGTGTTGAATGGATGCCATATCCTACGCAGGTGTGGAAGCTGCCTTCCTGCACATTCGATTGCCGTCAATGGATGGCAATTGATGTCCGTCGGTGATTGGCACTAGATTGCGGAACAGAGACCGACGTTAATTAAAGGAATGAATATTTATAATGGCCACATGCGCCTGATCTCAGTGTAGGGAGGAGAAACTCGAGAAATGGGTCGTGTGTTACTTGCCCCACTATCAAGTGAATATTTAAAGAATCTAATAGTACGACCACGACAAGTTAATCAAAAAAATAATCTGAACTTCGTGCAATATCTCTTTGAGTCACTGGGTGATATACTAGTAACGTATTAAGATCGATAAATGTTGTATCTTGTCTCATGTCTCGTCTTGTGAGTGATTTGCCAAAATGAGACACAGATCCGTTCTGTTTTTCGATTCCAATGACCATTACAGGATAAATCTCTTCCAGTAAAATAACCAAACACTATTTTCCCTTCGATGGTTCCACCATAATGAAACTTTGTCCACAGTTGCATCCAATTCTAATTACCCGTACACGTCAAAGACCATTCGTTCCATTCTGTTACAGTTTTTTGTGTGCATCATGTCAGCAAAATAAATCAGAACCTCTTCTTCCGTACATTACCACGTACCTCAATAAGCAGCTCATATCCGGTTGCCCTAGATGTGGGTTGACCAGACCCCAGAGCAGCACATTGCGAGTCACCATTGTTGCTTCTGGGAAATTGTTCTAAATTTGTTCTACACGACCATCAACCAGGAGAGCAGCAGAGCTGATTTCCTTTCTAGTTTCGTTCTGCTCTGTTTCACCGCAAATATCCTGAGCGCGCAGCTGCCGGTGGCGAAAGTACAAGTGCAGCACAGATTTCGTGATGTTACCACATTTATTTAATGACATTTTTCCGTTTTCCATCCGAATCTAACCCGTGTGCATTTCTGTTTCTGTTCTTCCCTTGCAGGCGGCGGAGTACTCCTCGTACCAGAACACCATCGGACGGCGATCTACGCTGATGGGAGGCGGCTGTGCCCCGTACACCCACATGAGCAAGTACTCCTACCCGACGGATATGAGCCTCAGCAGCCACTACGGCTACACGTCCTGGGGTTTATGGCGCGATACCCGGAATCTGTCCTCGTCAATGTACGGCAAGAAGCAGAAAAACTTCAGATCGGTCTCCATCCTATTGATGTCGGCTGCCTTCATCGTGGTCCTGGCCGTGCTCTGTGTGGCAGCGTTGGCGTTCTACTTTAGCGCATTCAAGGCGGACCTCAGCGACTGTGAGTATCAACTACTATCTTGTCTCGTTCGATGTATTATTTTTTTTTTACGTTTTCATTTGATGCTTCCTGCCGATTTTTTTTTTTTTTGGGATGGAGGGAAATTGATATTGTTATGGTGACGCTGCTTTTGTGCGGCGTCCAAATTCGGGACCGGACATCATATGCCAGCCATCGCATTTCGGGCGAACCCAAGTCAGTAAGCTGCAACGGAACGAACGGTCGGTGGTCCAGTTTTATATTTTATTGTTTTTCTCCCCAAGCCGGTGCCGCCAGGAGGTGGTTGTGGCCCTTGAAAAAGTCATTAAAGGATGCCCTGTTGGCTTTGCTGTTTTCTCTGACAGTGAGGGACAGGTCATAAAAAAAAAGAAAGACCGAAAAAAGGCTAAACTTTCATAAATAACATCCGTTTGTGTGTGTGTGTGTGTGTGTGTGTGTGTGTTTGTGCCACTGTAAGTTTTATTGCATCGACAAATGATTTATCTTGCGTCATTTGCTGTTTGGGATTTGAAGTGGGGTGCCCATACTTTGTGGTGACCCAGAGAAAACTGATATTGGATGTCTTTATGTGATGACGAGAGAGAAATTGGTCGTAACTCGGGTTCTGAAATATTGTTGAAGGGTTCAGGAAAATTGAATCATATTGCAACTTGGATTTGGGTTTAGATTTTTTAAGATTCAGGATGTTTATTTTATGATATTCAATATAATACGTACCGTTAAATGGTCCAAAATTGAACAGCGGGTGTATTTGATTACTGAAGTTTCGTATTGTTTTTGATCAGATATAATCTATATAGGGGAAATGGATGTAATGTCGGCCTAAATGCCCCTAATTTTGGGCCCATACATAAATTCAGCAATCGACTAAATTTTCAATAGCAAACCAAAAATATCCATTACATTATCCTGCATAAAAATGTTCACGCCGATTGGTTCAGTAGTTTCCGAATCTTCAAGGGCCAGACAGATCGACAGATTTTTTTTTATATAGGGGAAATGGCTCTAATGTTGGCCTATGGGTCTAAGATTGGGCCCTTTGCGAAAAATCTGCTATTTATCATTTTTTTCTATATGAGAACACCTCATTGGGAAGGTGCTTATGAATATTTTTGGTCACTATTGAAAATTTAGTCGTTTTTTGAATTTATGTATGTGCCCAAATTAGGGGAATTTAGGCCGACATTACATCCATTTCTCCTAGAGTAGGACATAGATTTGTCAAAATTATTATACCAGCTGTAAAATGAGAAAGGATATCAAGGAGGTAGTAAATTCTATTAAAATAATTCTTACGAGGTTTATGCTTCTATGCCTTCTAAGCACTCTTGAACTCATGACTTTTTATTGCTTTAATCATTTACGTTCTTTATTTATAATTTTAAATCTAGCTTTAAAAAATGCATCATCTTGCTTCACGCAACATAACATAAATTAAAGTTTGTATAAAAAGCGGCAGGTCACATAAAAAAATGTGATTTTAAGCAGCCATGTTTGATATCTTCGGATATCCTACAATTTGGCGCGCGCGAACACTAGACTTCTTTATCGAGTTAAAGGATTAACGCGCGCACATACCGAATCACATACGGGACTTTCTCAACTTTAGCGAGCCTAGCTGGGAGAACCAGTAGTAGAGTCGCAAAGAGAATACTAGCTTCTTATTTTGTGAAGTTATTCGATAAGCCAACTGTGAAGTCGGGTCGAGCTAAGAATCTTTCTGTTTATTGAAATGCATTTTCCTTTTATACAGTTTTAGTTACATTGATTCATGAATGTTGAAAAGAGTCATTTGGGAAAAAGAGTGAGACGACTGCAGTGACACCAAAAATGCGCATCCTAGCAATATCGGAAATAATGGTTATATTTTGGTTGAGCGCCCGGCGTTGTCATTCGAAATATTTCTTGCTGCGCGAACAACCTTGGTCCACCCGGGAAGGGTGGAAGAGGACGAGGGAGTGCTGCAGTTCTAGTGACGAGTGACAAACATATGGGTCGTGTAAAGTTGCATAATTGCATTCTTGCCCGAGCGATGGCTCGGTGCCTGGAGTGGATAATTTATTAGCATGGTTCGCATTGATTGGGGTTTTGTTAGCTATGTGAGAATGGTATACTACACATGTGTTAACTGTTTACAATTCAGTTTTGAAAGCGATAGGTATTGCTTTTTTGAAACTATGACCAGAACTAGAGAAGCTCCAAGCGAATACTAGGTTATTTCTTTAAATTTGCGTGGGCGAATTTTTTTCAATTTTCTTTCTCTGTGATACACTTAGATAACAAATGTAAACAGCATTTTTTTTTCTTTAAATAACTGTGATGGAACTTCTTCTTCTTCTTGGAATTAACACGTAAAACAGACATAAATCTCTAGATATTGCGTTTTGAGTTGACCTTCATTCGCAAGAATTTTGCAAGAAGGACAAGATAAATCGAGCGCTTGTCGATACCTGTAACACGCAGGGAGGCCAGATTATTTTTTTTTTCATTATCGGTAGCTTCTCAAAACGTTTATCGGTAGTTGTCGGTAGGCCGTCTTTAAAAGGCTTCCCAAAACTTAAAACCTTTGTGAGCGGAGGAAGGATGAATACAAATCACGCGCAATTCACATTGGATAGTCTAATCTAGAGTCGGTGTATAATGAGTCACGCCAAAAGTGAAGCCAAGTCTTCATATTGAACTGTCAAACCGGCTACCTATGGTGCAAAAGTCCACGAAAGGTATTGCAATAAAATATAATCGAAGAAATGATCAAAAACATCAATGCGTGTGCATTAAATTGTCATGGGATACGTTCGGTTATGACAAGAAATGAGAATTTCTACTATTTTTGACGTAGGACTACGTCTGTGATTTCTATATGGAGGTACAATTTGTGAAAACCAAAAATGGAACATGTAACAAAATTATGAAAGATTTTGAACGTTAATAACTCAGCTGCTCCTGGACTAATTTCAATAACTTTATCATCAATCGATCAGAAATATTTCTACGCAACTGTTAAAATTGAGACTTTATCATTTTTCAAAATGTCACTATTGAAAAATGCATGAATCTGCAACTGTAACTATGATAATCAAAATTATTTCCTGCGAAAAGCCATTTCCCTAACACAGATTTCAAAATTCCGGTCTCACCAAACGGTGTTTATTTAATCACCGCGTTATGAGTGCTGGTGTTCTCCCACAAGCAGCTAGCGATCAAGGCTACCCACAACCGCTAATCGGATTCAGTTCCAATCACCGTTGTGTGGTGGTGTCCGCTCGTCAGCATCAGCAGCAGCAATACTTTCGGAGCGTGGCGTTGAACATTGTTCTCCAGTACACAACGAATGGCTACCTGCAAGCTGCGAGTTGCAGCCCACATGAGCATCCGTAGAAGGAAGAAGAAGCTGCACCGCTATTGATCGGAATCAGTAGCTCTTCGTGAGTCACTGTGGGCCATCTATTAGCGAATTCGTTTATTATTCAGTTCCAACCTGGATCGGGTATCAAGATTGTGTCTGCTTGTTTTCTGACAAACGTCAGTTTGCTCGTTTGTTTTTAAAACCTAGCTCAGCTTGAGGTTCGCACTGACAAAAAGTTCGGTTTCGCAGTATACACAGAGAAAATCCTCACATTCCTATTCCTAAACAAAACACAAGCTCCTGCTGCAGTTAACAAATAAGATTTATTATATCAGACCACGTAGTCCTACGTCACCATTGCGTAGAACCCTACAGGGCTGTCCCCTGTAGTTTTTGTTAAGATAATTTGACAAAATCACTGATTTTCTCTCGCTAGAAGTCATTTGAAGTTGATGTAGAAGTCGTCTGTTGCCAAGTGAAAAGAAAGGGAATCTTTCGAAAACCGTGATGCGAGTTCAACTCTTTTTTTTTTCTCTTGGCGTGATTCCGACTCTAGTCTAATCATAACAAGTAAGTGTAAGCAGGACGGACGGAATATGGGAACAAAAAAGGGAGAAAAAAAAATAGCATCATAGACAGACAGAGAAAGTCAATTAGACGTAAAAAAAACTCATCCGTCTGGATTGCAAAACGCGTCGCGTTCGATCAAATATCGTTGTTTAGGGGTATTGAGGTAAATACATATTCGTTATTTGCATTAAAAATGGATTCAAAATCCAAAATTTCGTCAATTTTGGTACGCTGGAACTATTTAAAATAAGTACGATTACATTAACAACAATCACCATCTTAGCACCCCTTGGTGGGGCTTTGTATGTGAGCGAGTTGTCAACGCATAGATTTAGTGACAACGATCAAAAATGTAAATCTTGATTTAAAAATCGAGATTAATTGGACTATTTTTCGAATATAAACAACCCAATTGACTGACTACGTGGAAAACAAAACAAAGGTGTTGAACATTTTTCAAGATTACTTAAAATCTGTGATTCTCGGTAGGAAAAGTGTAAAATCGGTAGTTTTGAACCTTTCGTCTGTGAATCGGTAGGCATCCCAAAAATTGGTAGGACTACCGATAAATCGGTAGGTGAATATGGCCAGGGTGGTAGCACGCAAGATTTCAACTAGCATTGGGCGATCTTGAGGCAAGAATCGATCTTAGTTAATCGATTTTTGTTTTTTGAAAGTAATCGATTCACCGATTTAATCAATCATTTTCAATCGATCTTTTGAATCGATTCATTTTTCATAACAGCACAAAAATAATTCAAATATAAAGAATCATAGGAAAGTTGGTGCAGATTAACGCCAGGTTCAGTCTAAGCCAAATTATAAAGATATTACGTTACATAAGCTATCTTGTCATGACATTTCACTTATAATAGTTATTTAGTGTGAAGATTGATACCATTTAGATATAAATTGTGTAGTACATTCGCAGGGTGGCCAGTGAACCGCAAACATTCGAGAAACTTTAAAAAAAAATCAGGAAAAAATACTTGGAAATGCCTTCAATTTCGATTACGAACCGGGGAAACATACCTCCTTTCCCCGAAAATAAACTCTAAACCTTGGAAACTTTTAAATGGTATTT